CAGAGGAGCAGGAAGGCTGACGTTTCCGGCCTAGACCCTTCTTCTGAAGAAGAGTCTAGGCCCAAAATGTCAGCCTTCCTGCTCCTCTGATGCTGCTTGGCCTGCTGTGTTCATCCAGCTCTACACCTTGTTATCCCTGTAATTATTGGAACAGCATATCTTTAGAATCTTGCTTTATTCGGGAATAATTAGTGGTTAGAAGGGGTTTATTCAATTTGTTAATAGTTTAGTTAATTTGTTGACTGTTAGAATTTAGATAAATAAATTGTTACTCGTTGATTGTAAAGTGAATGTCTGGGATTTATTTTAATTAACCTCTAGAAGCTGAAGGGCAGGTTACATGACTTTTCACACTGCTTTTACAGATTATAGAGTGAGGTGCTCCTCTTTCGGTGTTTCGGCTTTAGTTTTCAGAGTGCTTCACTTCAAAACAATATATCTATTATTTTGTTAACCCTTTCCAAAGAGATACAAATAAACTAATTCTTTTCTTTTACGTTTATTTTGTCTGTATCTTAATCATAGTGTAAAAATAAAGGGCGTTTTGCTTAAAGTTGAGTAGTTTGACCAATCAAATTGCATCTAGAATGCAACTTATGTTTAAAATAAGAAAAAATTAGGGTCTAGACTATCTTCTTGATATATTTTCAGGGGGGTTGGTTTGGTCCACAATACAAATTTATGAAAATTTCATTCTAGTTTAATCTAGGAATTTCGCATCAGAATGCACCTTAACGAACCTTAAATTATGTTTTAAGTTTTTCCAAAATTTTTAGTGATATATGTTGCAATGCTGGTGGGAAAATTAGAAATGAAAATTACATTGCCTCTTTATGGATTGCTAGCACAGAAAATGTAAATCTAACATCTAACAAGCATAGTTCAGGTAGAAAGTGAATGACTATACTTTAGACAGTGGACGTAATCAGTGGAATGTGTAGGAGTGGCATGTGTTGTGTGAAAGAGAGAAGAAATGTTAATCTATACGATTAGATTCGGTAGAAGACAGAAGGTAGTGACTGCAGAGTAAATTTTGGGGAATTCCCTCTCCACAATGCAATTAGACTACTGGCCCAACCATAAATAGACCCTTCTTACAATTGACCCAGTTTTCATCTTTGCTAGGTTTATAAATGTAAGATGTAAGAATTAAAGTATGAAAAATGGAGGCAAACTATTGACATAATCCAAACCATTTACCAGCATGTAATTTGCTCCCAGGTTGTATTCATGGGTAGTATGTGTTGAGTGAAAAAGTATTTAACATTTGGAACAAAGTGAAACAAAAGGCCGAGAGCCATTAATACAACAACCTTTTCATATAACAATGAGAGAAACCTAATAAGGATAAAAGTGTATATGCAAATAATCTTACGTTCTTTTAATTAAGAGATCGTATTACTTGCATGATTATCTCACATGACCACCACTCCATTTGATTATATTAGTCACATCTTTCACTATCGCTCCTAAAGTTTTAAGTTTATAATTTGTAGCATTGTCAAAAAGGAAAAGAGTATTACAGAAAGTGTGTTGATTTGCATATGGGAGATAAAATCTTGTTTTGATGAAATCACTATGTTACTACACTTCCATGACACTGACCATCTTGAACTGTGCACTTGAATCTTTACTACCTCTCTAGCTTTATTGTACAAATGGTTTGAATTCATACTTTTATACCAAATTACTCTGTTCATTTTAAGTAGGCAACACTGTTATTAAATTAAATATTTTAACAGTTTCTACAATAGTTACCTTCATCATCTTTTCCAATGAGTACTTCTCATTTTCTCGCTTTTTAACTGCCTTTTCTTTTGCTGCTTCTTGCGCCTTTTCTTGAGCAGCAAGTACTGCTTTCTCCCTCCTTTTCTGCAACTTTTCCTTACTAACTATCAAAGAAAAGTCAGTGTGATTATATGACACAAAGCCAAAACTAGTTATGCCTAACTTCAAGATTTAAAGTAACTATCATCAGCAGCACTGCTGGTGCAATTTACATCAATTTTAATCTTGTAGGATTCAACATAAAGCAAAATCTCTAAAACCATTCCTCACCTTCGGTCGTTGTAAGTTGCTCCCACATTCCCAATTCTTTCTTGCACAAGGTAAAGGTAACAACATCATTGCCAACTTTAGCAGAGCTTTTTGATTCATCAATAGAAGCAAATAGCATTACCTCAAACAGAAATGGAGGAAAGTTCACCTGTTAAAGTAAGCAATTTAGAATCGAAATCTGGAGGCAAATGCAGGTTCACAATTCTAAGGTAAAAAAAGTATGTAAAAACTAAAAATATAAATTAAATGTAGCTCAATACATTAGCAATCTTTTTAGATGATTTGTGGATGAGGACAATTTTAAGGGTTTCCCCAACGCCACATTCAAGAAGTTAAAGGTCAGTCTGTGAGAATGAATAGCTGCCAATGAGGCTATTAGGAACAAAAACCAAAGCTGCTGGATAAGCTCAGCAGGTCTGGCAGCATCTGTGAAGAAAAAATCAGAGTTAACATTTTGGGTCCGGTGACCCTTCCTCAGAACTGCAGGAGCTGACAATGGGTTGTGTGGTAGCAGCCCACTCTTTGGGCTCTATCTCCACCTATAGTTTACTCTCCCCCCTCCCCATCTTCTGCACAAATGTCAACCTTTCCTAGCTACCATCAGTTCTGAAGAAGGGTCACTCGACCCGGGACGTTAACTCTGATTTCTCTCCACAATTGCCAGCAATTTATGTTACGAAAACAGTTTTATCATTTCACTTTTGAGGCTCGGAGACACTTTGGTAAGTGACTGGCCACAGCAGGTAAAGTTGGTGCTTTGCTTGTGAAATAAATATATATGTTTTCACCCTGTAGGGATTCTATGATCTATGAGACCAAGGGCAGGTGTACAGGCAGCTCTTCCCCCCCTCCCTTTCCAAACACGGGGCACAGCCACCCGTGTGGATCCCTCACCTTTAAATAATCCTCTATACAGAAAATGTCCGCTTTCCCAGCCGTCACTCCCTTCAGTGGCACCGTGATAAAAAGCTGGCTCTCCACCTGGTCCCAAGTGTAATCCCTAACCTGCAGCGGCATCTTTACCAACAGCCGCCCGTTGCTAAGCGACGCGCGTCCCGCTCCCTAGTCCTTCCGGGTGACGCGGGCTTTAGTTTCCGGAGCAATTCGTGACAGTTTCCATGGATACCTACTATCCATTGAACCTCTGATTCCATATTCTTCACACGGTTCAAGACTTTTAAGGAGATATCTTATGGAATCAGTGCCACGAAGATGAATTCGATATGGTGCTGATGAAAATTAATTTAAACTAATATTCAGCTATGTAGCTAAATCAAACACAGCGTATACTGGAGATTTGAAACAGAAAAAAAATAGAAAGTGCTGGAGAAACTCAACAGGTTTGGCAGCATCTATGGAGAGAGAAATAGAGTTAATGTTTTGAGTCCAGTGACCCAACCATATCTGTATTTGTGCTACTAGTTTGGTACGTCTATCTATCTATTTACAAATCAGCTTTCTGGAGTAGTGTTTGAACGTTAACATGATTTTCATGCCAGTCTTTGGATCAAGATGTGAAACAAAATGGTATCGTGAACATTAAGTGAACCACTGTGTAAAGCTGCTGAATACATTTGTACATAATTAACCATACCTCCTCAGTCCTTGTTGCTTAGCTTTATTAGACAATTATTTGCCTTTTTTTCTCGACTTATGACTATAAATGTTCAACTGGCCAAATACCCGCTTCTCCACCAAAACAATTCCATGATTCTGTTGAAATATCTATTATGAGTTTTGCACCAATCAGTAGTATCTAATGAAGTAGTGGAAGGGAGGAAGGTCCAATCCCAGTGCCAGCTTCTTCCAGCCAGACTAATTACACACTAATCAGCCAATGGATGGGAAAAATAAGTGAAATCTGACAAACCATTTCAGTTTGAAATTTCATGCTGGATACTTTTCATTAGCAATTGTCTCAGAAATGTTTACAAGGTTTGAGATGTGTCACCACTGTGGAATTACAGAAGCTTAAGTAAGTGCTACAATTCACTTATCCAGAAGTCGTACATGTATGCAATTTCATAATATTATTTTATGTGGCATTGAATGGAATAAAAACATTCATGAAGTGCACAGAACAAAAGGCACAAGATAAATTAAAAACACTACAATGACATCCTTAAGCAATAGTGTATCTTAATTGGAAATAAAATTAGTGTCCACAAACTTGTTTTCCTAAAATTAACAGAAAGAGGCCAACTTTGTTCAAGTTGTTTTAACTATTGTGTCACGATACCCTCCATCAATACTATACTGTGGCCACAATATGGACCATTTTATAGGATGCACTTCAGCAACTCATCGAGATTTCTTCAACAGCACTGGTCTCTTCTGCAACATAAAGAGGATACAAAGACCTCTGTCACAGCCCCAGCAATCTCCTCCCTTGCCGCCTTCAGTATCCTTTGATAGATCCTGTCAGGGCCTGGAGACTTATCTAAATGTGGCCTGGAGACTTATCTAAATGTTTTTCAAGACGCCCAACACCAACTCCTTCTTAATATCAACATGTCTTAGAGTATCAACAAACCCCTCTCTAAATTTGCCATCATCCATATCTTTCTCCTTGGTGAATACTGATGCAAAATATTCATTAAAGACCTTACCCACTTCCTCTGGCTCCACAAATAAATTTACTCCTTTGTCTTTGAGTAGACCTGTGCTTTCCCCAGTTCCTCTCTTGCTCCTAATACATGTATAAAATGCCTTGGGATTCTCCTTAATCCTACTTGCCAAGGACATTTCATGGCCCCTTCTCGCCCTCCTAATTTTTTTTTTAAGTTCTTACCAGTTTCCTTTATATTCTTCAGTTTGATTTCTATTTCCTAAAACTTATGTATACTTTTTTTTCTTTTTAACTAACCTTATAGCATCTATCGTCATCCAAGATTCCCGAATGTTACCATCCTTATCTTTCATCCTCACAGTAACATGCTGGTCATGAAGTCTGGTCGGCTAGCCAGGCTTATTCCCCAAAGCAAGGTCCAATCCAGCCCTTTCCCTAGTTGGACTATTTACATATTGTTTCAAGAAAGTGTTCTGGATGTAGCTAACAAGTTCTGCCCCATCTAAGCCTCTGGCACTAGGAGAGTCCTAGTCAATATTGGGGAAGTTAAAATAACCCAGTACGACAACCCTGTTGTTTTTACATCTTTTCATCATCTGCTTATGTATCTGTTCATATATCTCCCACTGGCTATTGGGAGGCCTATAGTATAACCCCATCAGAGTGATTGCTCTTATTGCCTCACTGGATCCGCCCTCCAAGATGTCCTCTCAGTGCAGCTATGACACTCTGCCTAATCAACAATGCAACTCCACCACCCGTTTTATATCTCACTCTATCTCACATGAAACATCTAAATCCTCGAAGGTTGAGCTGCCAGTCCTACCCTCCTCTTAACCAAGTTTCTGTATTGGCTACCATTTCATAGTCCCTTGAACTAACCCAGGCTCCAAGCTCTTTTGTCTTATCTATTATATTCATTGCATTAAAATAAACTTCAGACTGCTAGTCCTGCCGTGTTCATTTAACTGGCCCTGCCTGTTCTTCCTACTGATTTACTTGATCTAGCGCTTGCTTCTCTTCAAACAATCCACATGCTGACCTACTACTCTGGTGCCCCCACCTCCACCACACTAATTTAAAACCCCCCAAGTGGAACTTGCAAACCTCCCCATCAGGAGCCCGTCCAGTTTAAGTGCAACCTGACCTTGTACAGCTCCCACCTGCCTTGCAAGAGATCCCAATGATCCAATATCCAAAGTCTTCCCTCATACACTAACTTTTTAGCCACACATTCAACTGCATTATCTTCCTCACTAGCACATGGCATAGGGAGTAATCCCCAGTTTACAATCCTGGAAGTCCTTCTTTTCAACTTCCTATGAACTTCCTAATTTCCCTTTGCAGGTCCTCAGCTTCCTTTCTGCCTATGTCATTGGTACCAATATGGACTGGGACCTCTGGCCATTCTCGCTCCCCTTTCAGAATATCCTGTATTCAGAGACATCTTTGACCTGGAACCAGGGAGGCAACACACTATCCTGGAGTCTCACTGACAGCCATAGAAACACCTATCTGTGCCCCTGACTATAGAGTCTCCTATCACTACAGGAGGAGCATTCCATAGGGCCAAGTTCTCCTGCCATTGGGATCCTTACCAATTACAGCCAATAATCTGGGAGCCAATTACACTACACTACTCACCAAAATCAAATTTGTCACCCTTGCTCTCTATTCCTAACAAACTATAACAGAGGTAAGTACTTTATACTCTATCTCAGTCTGACACTACTCACTCATTCTCTAAACCTGGTTCCTGAGCAGCCAGACCTATGTCATTTATTGAGTCCTGAGCTCCGGAGCTTTGTCTCTGGATTCAACCCCATTGCCAACACTGGTTTCGCTCTGACTGTCCTCAGTCCCGTTCTAACTGTCCTCAGTCCCACTCTGCCTGGCCTCAGTCCCACTCTGATTGTCCTCAGTCCCACTCTGCCTGGCCTCAGTCTCGTTCTGCCTGGCCTCAGTCCCGCTCTGACTGACCTCAGTCTCGCTCTGCCTGGCCTCAGTCCTGCTCTGATTGTCCTCAGTCCCGCTCTGCCTGGCCTCAGTCCCGCTCTGCCTGGCCTCAGTCCCGCTCTGACTGACGTCAGTCCCGTTCTGCCTGTCCTCAGTCCCACTCTGCCTGTCCTCAGTCCCACTCTGCCTGTCCTCAGTCCTACTCTGCCTGGCCTCAGTCCCACTCTGATTGTCCTCAGTCCCGCTTT